CCTTCCCCTGCTCACGCTGTGTGTGTGTGTCTCTCTCTCTCTCCTAGAAATAAATAAAAAACATTAAAAAAAAAAAAAAAGAAAGAATTGATCTAGAATTAATCATGGCAGTGCATCCACGTTGGTCTTGCCCCAGGCTCCGGTTAAAAAAAAAAAAAAAACTCTAGCAGGGATGGGCGTGGTTTGGTGTAGGCAGGTCTTAGCCTCCACTGCATCCTGCAGGATGCTCCTTGAGGTCCCCCCTTGGTGGTTATGGGGAGAAAAATGGCGGCGGCCCAGTTCCTTCTTGAACCACACATTGCAACTCACCCTTTTGGGTCCGATCTCCCTGTGCCGCAGGTGTAGCCAAGGTGGGCCTTGCTCTATGTCCCAACCCATGCCTTGTTTCCAGATCTTAGTACGCCCGTCCCATTGATACCACCCGAAATATAAACCCGCAGGCCAAGTCCCTCTGGGCAGTTTCAAGCTGGCCGCCTCTCCACTGTGGATAGAGCCAAGCTAGAAGAGCGGCGGAGCGGCTTCAGGCGCGCTACTTCCCCTCCGGGTGGAGCTGGCGAGCAAAGGAGAGGTTTCTCCTGGAGTCACCTGGGACCATGGTGTCCAGCTCAGAGTCAGCTGCCCAGCTGGAAACTGGATCACGCTGTCCCGAGATGAGGTTTTTCTCTTCTCCAGGGACAGGGACAGTTCCTTGAGCAGTTTCAGCCTCTCTTTCTTTTCCCCTGTACTCACTGCGGCTCTCCGCAAAGGGGGCTCCCTCCCCACCCTCCATTGTCTCCAGGTCCTGGCCTATTTTTATCTTCCCCAGTTGGCACTCATGCTATAAGGTTATTTTCTCAGAGGACTCTGTTTCCTTTTCCTCCCAAACTCCTGGATTCTGTAAGGGTTCCTATGGCTTCAGGCCTTCTCGGTTTGAGAGATGGGGGCAAGTGCAATGTATGGAGCTCCCTACTTCTCCGCCTTCGTGTCTCCCAGTCTGTTTCTTTTCTTTCTGGGATCTCCTTGCCTCTTCAGTAACCAAAGACTTCACAGTCTCAGTTTTCTCGTTCTCCTAGCCAGAATTATGCCCTATCCTTACCATTTCACATGCAGCATTTTAGCCCCAGGCTCAAAGGAAACTAATTTTGTATAACTCCCCTCCTCCTTGTGTGCACTTGCTACAAGAGTCTGTCTGCTTCTGTTCATTCTCCAATGCCTTCAGGAATTATGAGAAGATTTGATAGTTTTCTGGTTGGGAGTTATTTGGTATGGTCTTATTCTGTCATTACCAAAAGGAAAATCTGCATAGGTTTGGGTTTTAAAAAGTTTTTATTTATATATTTTTAAAATATTTTTTAATGTTTATTTATTTTTGAGAGAGAAAGAGAGACAATCTGGGTAGAGGAGGGGCAGAGAGAGAGGGAGACACAGAATTCAAAGTGGGCTCCAGGCTCTGCCCTGTCAACACAGAGCCTGACTCGGGGCTTGACCCCACAAACTGCGAGGTCATGACCTGAGCAAAGTTGGATGGTTAACCGACTGAGCCACCCAGGCGCCCCAGTTTGGTGTTTTGTTTTGTTTTGTTTTTTTAAGATGATTTATGTTACATAATATGTGGTGTGGCTTTTTTTTTCCTAAAAAAATATGCTAATGAACTGGCAAATTGAATAAGAAAACCCATCTATTCTCAAATCAAATCTGATACAATTTTACTCTTTGTTGATTTAAAAAAAATTTTTTTAGTGTTTATTTATTTTTGAGAGAGACAGAGACAGAGTGTGAGCATGGGAGGGGCAGAAAGAGAGGGTGACACAGAATCCGAAGCAGGCTCTGGGCTCTGAATTGTCAGCATAGAGCCCGACGCAGGGCTTGAACCCAACTGCGAGATTATGACCTGAGCCGAAGTCAGACACCTAACTGACTGAGCCACCCATGCGCCCCTCTTTTGTTGATGTTTTTTTATTCCTCTAACTGAGCATGGTTCCAGATTTTATGTCATGCTCTCATCATGAAATCACACTTTGCAATTTTCCAAGACACCAGAGAGAAAAATAGCGAGATTAAGAAAGCATAAAAAAAGAAGACAGTGGTGCTTTGCAATTCTTGGAGGGATCTTGCTGATAAATTTAAGTAAATTGTCAAGCAAAAAAATCCATCTTCTCAGATAATCCGAACTTTTTACATAAATAGTAAAATAATTTAAATTGATTTTATTACCTGTCAGTGATGTAGTTGTTTCTGGGTCTCACATCAGCAAAACTGTTCCAGGAACAATAGCAGAATTGAATTTGTTTTCAAAATTTGATTTCTATTTGAAAGGTATATCAGAGTTTGGATGTCACAATGAGGGTATATGTCATTGAAATGCTATAAAAGTAATAATGTGTATTCATTCTGATAGCTTATGTCTTTTCTTTGTTAAGCAGCATTAATATGGATGGAATAAAATAATAGGAAAATATCCACCTGAACAGTAGATGCATTAAAAATTTTTTTTTTATGTTTACTTTTGAGAGAGAGAAAGAACACGAGCAGGGAAGGGATAGAGAGAGAGAGATACATGGAATCCGAAACGGGCTCCAGGCTATGAGCCATTAGCACAGAGCCTGATGCGGGGCTCAAACTCAGAGACCATGAGATCATGACCTGAGCCAAAGTCAAACACTTAACGTATTGAGCCACCCAGGCACCCCCTAGATGCATTTTTTGGTAGATGCATTTAAATAAAAGGTCTGAAGACTTTATATTTCTTTTTTATGTTTATTTATTTGTTGAGAGAGAGAGAGAGAGAGGATGTGCTGGGAAGGAGAGAGGAAAGTTGAGAGAGGAAAGGAGAGAATCACAAGCAGGCTCCGTGCTGTCAGTGCAGAGCCTGACTCTGGGCTTAATCTCGTGAACTATGAGATCATGATCGGAGCCAAAATCAAGAGTCAGATGCTTATCTGACTGAACCACCCAGACACCCACTGAAGACTATATTTAGAAACCCAGGTCAACAAGTGTTATATCAAAACCCTGTTGTAGTAGTGGGATAAATTGAAATTTGAGTCTGAAGCAAAAGTGTGTAAAGGGTTTCTCTTTTGATTTGTTCCAAGGAGTCTCTTGCTAATTGCACAGAAATAGGGTAAGGGTAAGCGTATGCAAAGAGAGATCTTCATTCTCAGTCTCTGTGGATACTGAGGGCTAATGAGACCTCTTTCTAGATAGTTGTCTGTTTTAGCATAATAGAACAGTACCTGAAGTAAAACAGGATATAAGCGTGCAAATAAAGTTAACTAAAATATTTATCTTGGAGAAAAAACATCCTTTAGAAAATGTCTCCCCTAGTGTGCACATTCTTAATTTTGTACATGGAACAGGTGGCAGTTATCAATTGAATCAGTTGTTCATTGATTCACTCATTCAGTAACTGAATGACTTATATGTGCCAAGGTACAAGGTGCTGCCTTAGTGAGGAAAAAATGTGAAGTATGCCTTTCTCTTAAAGAAATTAAGATCTAGTGGAAAGCAAGAGAAGGGAGGGAAGCTGACATGGAGCCTCACCCTGTGCCAAGCATCCCTCCATACTTAATCGTCGTTAACCACCTGAACCCCGCCTACAGACCCGTGAAAAGACCGCATGGAGACATGGATAAAGGTCAGGCTTTACAATCAGATGGCCTAGGATCAACTCTCACCTTCTCTGTGTCTCAGTCGCCAACCTCTGTAAAACACAGGGGACAATATAGCACCCACATGACAGATCTGTTGTGTGGTTTGATGGGAGACTACTGGGCCAGTGCTCAGCAGGGTGCCTGCACTTGGCAGGTGATCACGTAGCAGTGATGAATACTATCATCCTCATTTGTCTGATGAGAAAATCTCATACTAGTCAATAAATAAGTAGCAGGAGCAAAGATTCTCATCCAGGTCTACCTAACAAAGTTTCAGAAATTCTCATGAAACAATTCTCTCTCTCTCCTTGAAATAAAATAATTCTTTTCATGTGTCAGGGGTGGAAAATAAATTCACATTCCCAGATGGAAACCAAAGCCCTAAAAGATAGAAGATAAACCTCAATTGTGATACCTTCGGTAACATGCGTTTGCTTACATTCTTTTTTTTTTTTTTTTTTGAGACAGAGACAGAGTGGGGGAGGGGCAGAGAGAGAGGGAGACACAGAAACAGAGCAGGATCCAGGCTCTGAGCCGTCAGCACAGTGCCCGACGCGGGGCTCGAACCTGCGGGCGTGAGATCATGACCTGAGCCGCAGTCGGGCCCTTAATCTCCTGAGCCACCCGGGCGCCCCTGCTTACATTCTTTTTAAAAATATTTATTTATTTAAATGTCTTGCGCACACAAGAGTGGGGGAGGGGCAGAGAGAGAGAGGGAGACAGAATTTGAAACAGGCTCCAGGCTCTGAGCTGTCAGTACAGAGCCAGATGCAGGGCTCGAACTCACAAACTGTGAGATCATGATTTGAGCTGAAGTTGGACATGTAAGTGACTGAGTCACTCAGCCACCCCACATTCTTTTTTTTTTTTAATGCTTATTTATTTTGAGAGAGGGAGAGAGAGAGTGCACGTGAGTTATGGGGAGGGGCAGAGAGGGAGGGAGAGAATCCCAAGAAGGCTCCCTTCTGTCAGTGCAGACCCCAATGTGGGGCTTGATCTCACAAACGGTGAGATTATGACCTGAGCTGAAATCAAGAGTTGGACTGACTGAGCCACCCAAGTGCCCCATACATTCTTTCTTTATAAATGATGTCATTGTAAATCAGGAGTAGGCTTACCACATTTGGTATTAAAAATACTGAGGAATGTCAAGATTCACGAGCCACCAGTTTCATGTACTTGCTATGAAGGAATGTGTCCTCTTTGTACTAATTTGCTAATTAGTGAAGCTCATCATAGTTTTATTCTTTGGGACAAAAATACCTTATTTCCAGTGTTTGCATTGATCTGGGTTTTTTTTTCCCCTGGATTCAGAGGGGGAATGCAGAATCTAGTATTGATCTGCCTATTGATAAATGCCATTATGTTCAGCAGCTCATGCGCAGTGGAGATAAAGCCCCTCCTCCGCCCACTCAGAAAGGGGAGACCATTTCCTGCTCCAAGTGTGGTCGCAGGAATCGCCGGGAAGCTTGCTTCTGTGACTGGTGTGGAGCCACGGTGGGTATTTAAATCTGAGCTTCCTGGTGCGAGGCCTCACCACCACCCTGGGAAGAGGCCCAGGCTCCTCCTCTTCCCCTGCCTTACCGAAATCACTTCTTGGGATTTGAATACTAGTACCTAGTTACCTAAGACTCTGGAGACAGAGATAATTCATTCCCTTAAATTGAGAAAGCTCTGTCATTGCCGTTTTACTCTGCATTTCTTTGAGGTTAAACTTTTTCACTCATTAATTGACTATTGGTATTTCTTTTATGTATTGTCTGCTTACGTTTCTAATAAAACACTCAAGAGTCATTTCTTCAAATAAGTGTTGCATGTAAATAATACAAAAGGTTTTGTGTGAAGGGTTAGTCTCCCTTCTCATCCCACGCCTATAGAGCCTGTCCCCAGAAGCAGTCACCGTTACCTAGTGTCTGAGTGTTCTTGAGCCATTCAGTGTGTTCATAAGTAAACTGGTAGTTTAATATGAACGCTGACTCAGTTCTTTTCACCCAACAACATATTTATAGCCCCTTATTCAGTGGCTCCATAATACACCACTATCTGTATGTACCATGATATATTGAGGCTATCCCCTTTTGCTGGACATTTAGATTATTTCCAGTTATTTTCCCTAAAACCACAATCCCACAGGGAATGGTCTTAAATATACTTCCTTTGTGCAATTGTTCAGCTGTAGGACAAATTCTAGAAGGCAGACTTGCAGGGTCAAGGGTATGGGCATATGTTAATTTGATGGCCAGAGATTGTGTGGTATGAGACTAATTTACATGGGAAAATTGTGACTCTAATATTTATGAAGATGTAAAAATGTTTTCTATCCTCTAGCCGGGCATTTCTGCCTGCTGCTCAATTTGCCCTAAATGTGGGGCCAGCAATCACCCATCTGCCCGATTCTGTGGCTCCTGTGGTATTTATGTGAAGTCCTCGGCAAGATTTAGCATGGACAACAGCCTGGCTCTCGCTGCTGGACAACTTGGCCCTTTTGTTGAGGTGAGGCCTTCACTGTAATAAGAGCTCGTGCCTGGGGAACAGCCCAGGACTCTGACTTTGTGTACTCTACCTTGGGGATCAACCCGGGGAAAGAGAGCCAAACATGTAGACTTTTCATGTGGGTTTTCAACTAGGTGTGTAAGTAAATTCAGTCAATTTAGGTTTTAAACACTCAAGTGATTTCTTCTGCAGTCAAAGATCTAAGTGTTTATTTGTAGTAGATTGAGCTCTAATTGCATTTGCAAGACTAATATAAATAATGTAATTTGATATAATGTCATGAGGGAGAAGTGGGTTTTTAAAATATGTGAGACAGAATGTCCTTCTCGTGAACTGCTTATGTAGCATACTAGGAACTTTGCTCCTGCTCTTTTATATTTTAGAAAACTTATATCAGGTTTATGAAATCACTTGTAACATTTAAAACAACTGCACATAGTTTAAGGAATATCTTACAGGGTTCTTTTCAGAAGAACTTAATCTCTAACCAGCTTGATATTAACCTTTTATGAATTTCTCTAAGCTATGTGAAGACTTTTCAGATTTCTTCTTAGCTCTACATTAGAAGAATTTGAAGACTGATAGTTCTTAGAATGCACATGCAGTCGGCAACTTTGCATTCCCTTTTAGGGAGTTCATGGCCTTTGTAACCCAGACTGCCACTTATGCATCCTGGGAGTGTCAGTAGCCCATATGACACCTATGAGACCAAGGGTTCTTTCTTCAAGACACTAGACTGCCATCTGCTGGAAACTGATTGTAATATACTAATTTTGTTAGACATTTTCTTCCACTTACCAGAAAAACTGTCCTAATAAATATGCAAATTTACGATGCTCACCATGTGAATGTTAGCCTGTTAGATGCAGTGATGCTGTGCAGTACACAACCTACACAACCTTACATGATGGTCCTTGCAAGTTCCCGTGTCCAGATGCAGGAATGTCTCAGAGAAAATACTGGTGCCCAGTACTTGCATGTGGATGAGTAGTAACTCCATTGGATTGTAGAACTGAGAGGATAGATTTGTTTCAGGCCTTGGGCAGCAAGACAGGGAATATCAGTTCAGTTGATTTGTTGAATTTGATATAGTAAATGGCCAAGCAGAAGAGGCTGGCTTTATGGATCAGGCTGAGAGTTGTTGGGAGAGACAGACCAAGGAAGGTGGGCTGAAAACCTCTTTTAGGTTCAGAGTACAGTTTCTTGGAGACATTTTTACTTCTGATTAGAATTCTTTACTATAAGTAATATGAAGAATTAATGAAATTATATTCTAGTATTTTATGTTTTCTGCCTTGCTCATAGCCCCGATCTGCCTGGCAGCCCCTAAATGTTCCTTTGCTCAGACCTGAGGCTGGGACTCAGAAGGATGTGGGCACACAGACTACTGGCCTGTTCTACCCATCTGGTGCACTACTAGCCAAAAAGGAACTGGAAATGGCTTCTCAAAAGCAGAGGCATGAGAAAATGAGTGACCATAAGCCTCTGCTCACAGCCGTCAGCCCAGGAAGAGGTGAGGGAAAAGGCACACTTTCTTGTCAGGAGGGAATTCCCTCTTTCTCTGAAAGAAAAGTGCATTTTTTATTCCTCTAGATTTATTTCTGTACATAAGTAAATCCCTTTGGGGTGAGTAAATCCCTGGGTGGCTCAGTCGGTTATGACGTCCTACTTCAGCTCAGGTCATGATCTCATGGTTTGTGAGTTCAAGCCCCGCATCAGGCTTTCTGCTGTTTTGTTGGCACAGAGCCAGCTTCAGATCTTCTGTCTCCCTTTCTCTCTGCCCCACCCCCCAACCTCTCTCAAAAATAAATAAACATTAAAAAGAAAGAACTGGGGCACCTGGGTGGCTCAGTGTTAAGCATCCAACTTTGGCTCAGGTCACGATGGCATGGTTTGTGACTTTGAGCCCCATATCAGGCCCTCTGCTGTCAGCTCAGAGCCCACTTTGGATCCTTTGTCCCCCTCTCTCTCTGCCCTCCCCCACTGGTTCTCTCTCTGTCTTTCTCTCAAAATAAATTAATTAATTAAAAAAAAAGTAAATGGGGCACTAGGATGGCTCAGTCTGTTAAGCATCTGACTTTAGCTCAGATCATGATCTCACAGTTTGTGGGTTTGAACCCCGCATTGGGCTCTGTACTGACAGCTCAGAGCCTGCAGCCTGCTTCGAATTCTGTGTCTCCCTCTCTCTCTGCCCCTCCCCACTTGTGCTCTGTCTCTCAAATAAACATTATAAATAAGTAAGTAAGTAAATCAATCAATCAATCAATCAATCAATAAAAGTAAATCCCATTGTTTTTCTTTAGGTAATTTTCCTTTGTATTAGAGCTCATCCTTAAACTTTTAATACTCTGATGTTTTCACTCATAGCTCTGTCATCTAGTCTGTAAATCAAATAATACATATGGATTGCTACTATTATGGTAGAAATGTTGTTAGTCTGTGCCATTATTGCTATCTGCCATTATCTCTCTCTTTTTACCATTCTAAAATTCACCATTGGACCATTTTAGTGTACAATTCAGCGAGAGTACATTAGCAGCAGTATAGAAGCATTACCACTCTTTATCTCCAGAACATTTTCATCACCCTAAAAGTAGACCTGATATTCTTTTTTGCAATCACTGCTCACATCTCACCCAAGTGCCTGGCAACCACAAATCTACTTTCTGTTGTTGTTGTTTTTGTTGTTGTTTTAATGTTTATTATTTATTTTTTGAGAGAGAGAGAGTGCAAGTGAGGGAGGGACAGAGAGAAAGGGAGACACAGAATCTGAAGCAGGCTCCAGGCTCTGAGCTGTCAGCACAGAGCCCGACATGGAGCTCTAACTCAGGAATTGCGAGATCATGACCTGAGCTGAAATCGGACGCTTAACCAACTGAGCTACCCAGGCGCCCCTACTTTCTGTTTTTATAGATTAGCTTGTTCTGGACATTTCCTATAAATGCATCTCCTGTCTGCCCATAAGAAACCAGAAATCCAGACTCATGTGACATCCCCCAAGTGTTAAATTGTGACACCTAGTGAATTCAAATGTGTTTAAACCCTGTGCAGGCTGCAGAAGAGCACAAGGGAGTTTTTGGAGTGATGGAAATGTCCTACATATTGATTGGGATGCATACTCTTGCTGAAATTCAAAATGTATGCTTAAAAGTTTGCTCAATAGGGTTAATTTTAAAAGAATAAAATAGGGGTTCCTGGGTGTCTCAGTCAATTGAGTGTCCAATTCTTGATTTCGGCTCAGATCATGATCTTATGGTTCATGAATTTGAATCCCATGTTGGGCTCTGTGCTGACAGTGCGGAGTCTGCTTGAGATTCTCCCTCTCTCTTTACCCCTCCACTGTTTGCACTCTGTCTCTCTCAAAAATAAATAAATACACTTTTTTAAAAAATCTATATTTTAATAATTCGGGCAACTACTCAAAAGAATGCCAAGAAATACAGTTAAAAAGCTAATGAGAAAATTTAAATACAATTCTAAAAAATATTCAAATTACCCCACCCCCCCAAACAGGAAAGTAGTAATAAAGAAAACAAAACAAATGGGAAAAGTTGAAATCAAATAATAAAATGGTAAGTCAAAACCAAAACATATCAATAATTACATTAAATTTTATGGACTAAACATTTCATTAGAAGGTAACAATTCTCACCATGGATTTCTAAAAAAAGAAAAAATAGGGGCTCCTGGGTGGCTCTGTTGGCTAAGCATCCGACTCTTGATCTCAGCTCTGGTCTTGATCTCAGGGTCATGAGTTCAAATGCCACATTGGGCTCCATGCCAAAAGAAAAAAAAAACCCTCTATGCAAGCCACAGACAATACCTAACTATGTAGTCTAAAAGTAAATACATAGTAAAAAATACACTTGCTGAAATTCAGACTGTATGCTTAAAAGTTATATCTCAATATGGTTAATTTTAAAAGAATAAAATCGGGGTTCCTGGGTGGCACAGTCAGTTGAGTGTCTGACTCTTGATTTTGGCTCAGATCATGATCTCATGGTTCATGAATACAAGCATCATGCTGGGCTCTGTACTGACAGAGTGGAGCCAGCTTGGGATTCTCTGTCTCCCTCTGTCTTTCTTCAAAATATGTTCTTTTGAGATTCTGTACTATTCTATGATTAATCATGTGTAATTTTAAAAATCTGGGAACAAAAATGGAATGTATTCTAGTACGTATTCAAGGTTCAGTAAGCAAAAACCATATAAAGTTTGGCAAACAAACAAACAAACACCTCTCTGAGAATGCATGGTATACTTGAACATTTTTCTTTCTTGGCTTCAGAAGGATTATCCACATGGATGGGTTTCTCTTTTTCTTTAGGGTACTGGAGGAAACAGTTGGATCATATCTCTGCTCACCTCAGGTCTTATGCTCAGAACAACCCTGAGTTCCGGGCCTTGATTGCAGAACCCAGAATGGGAAAGGTGGGTGAGCTCTGAATGGAATTTCCACTCTGAGCTTCGCATGGGATCAGGCTGCAGTCCCCCTCCACTGTCTTCACCTGAAATTGAACTTTGCTTGTCTCCTTTCCCTTTCCTGTCCTGCTTTCCACACTTCCTTACAAGCACTGCCATAATAAATCACTTGCGCCTGTGTCTTGTCTCAGGGTCTGCTTCTGGACACCTGACCTAAGTAAGATAAGATAGTAAATTGTGAACAGTCCATGCTTTTACATTCAATGTGGAGATTCTATGGAGATTCTTGTGGTCAGAGCTAAAAGACCCAGAAGAATTTAGTCTACCCAAATTGCATACTTAAATCCATTCTGTATTAGCAGCAGTGGTAATTTAGCCATTTAATGATACACTCACTGTGTACATTATGTTCATCCATCTCTAGTGCTCATAACAAACCTACAAGGTAGGGATATTACCTTTGTGGCAGCTTTTCAAAATGGCCACAAATTCTTTGTTAGTTTTCCCTGCAAAGGGCAGAGTCCCTGTCCCTGGTAGACGAGTGGGAGGGCTTATGGCAGTTGGGTTAATAACAGAGTGTGGTGGCAGTGGTGCTATGGGACTCCCAGGGTGTGGTCCTCTTACTTGGCACACTGACCCCCAACACTCCTTCTTGGAGCCCAGCCCCCATGCCATGAGAAGCCCAGGCCCCATGCCGTGGCCACCTGTAGTTGCACTGTCTGCAGCCCTGGCTGAACCCGGGCCTGGAGTCATCCTGGCTCAGGAGCCAGACAGACGAGTGATGAGAGCCTGGGTCATTCCAGCCTCTAAACATGCCATTTGGAGTCTTCCCTATGAGGTGTCAGACATGTCGAGCCAAGATAGTCTATCCCTTCTGTGCCCTATGGGAAGCCACCATGAACTTAATAAAGTGGTTGTTCAGTCCTGCTAAGTTTGAGGTGATGTTTTACACTGCAGTAGAGAATCAGAATAAGCCTTATTTTTGACACCCAGGAAAACTGGCTCACAGAGGTTTGGTGCCCTCCCCAGGGCTGCACTGTTGGGTCTCTTGGGGGATTCCAGATTTGAAGCCCCATGCTCTTTCTCTGGCATTACATTGCCACTATAAAGAGACAGCTCTGTGAGAGGACCTCTTCTCCTTGTCATAACACTAGAAGGAACCTTTAAAAATCAGCCTGTTTGATCCTGTGTCACCAAATAGGCCAACATTGAAACTATTTCATTGTCAAGTAGTGTTCAGTTTCCTTTGATAATATGTTTTGGAGTTTTATTCATTGTCTCACCTAATCCAGGGGTCTGCAAACTATGGCTTGTGGGGGAAATTAGGCCTGTTTTGTAAATCCAGTTTTATTGGATCACAGCTATACTCATTCATTTACTTATTGGCCATAACAGCTTTTGTGCTGCAATGGCAATGACCCACAAAACCTAAACTTCTTACTATCTGATCCTTAAAGCATTTGTTGACCCCTGTTTGAGGGAAATTCCTCCTGCTGCTTACAAAGAAAGCTTCTCAACTATGATACTTGGCTCTTGATGGCCAAGGCCTGGTCCCTCAAGACACTCAGCTGATGACATCCAGCCAGGTGGCTTGATTAAACCTAATGTGTTTCTCTGGTAGAGTATAAATGTGGGTCTTGCTTTCTTATCCAGTCTGGCAGTCTCTGCTCTTTGATGGGAACATGAATTTTGTTCATTTACAATTAGTGGAATTATAGATATAGCTAGATTTGTGTCTGCTATTTAGCTACTTGTATTTTATCTTACTTAGTTTTTGTTCTTTTGTTTCTCTTTTCTTGCCTTCTTTTGAATTCATGAAATGTTTGATTACATTTACAGTTTAACATCTCAGGATTTCTTGGCTGTTGCTCAGGACATTAAGTCCCACATGCATGGTTGTGAATTCTCTCTAACGCTTTTTTAAAAGCTTATCTCTGCTACTGTCCATGAAGATGGCTATGAAGTTAGCATCCAGCTGAATTACATTCAAGTATCAAACAAGGTGAGTAAAACTTTCAGAAACTGTTCATTTGAAAATTGACTCAACTAGTAAATTGTAGTCTATAGTCTATTGAAGTTCTTCTTTGTAACCCATGGAAGACATAAGTTCCATATGTTATAAAACTTGACAATGGTCAGTAATTTCATAGGATTAGGTAAATAATTGTGCTAAACCCCAGAGAAACCAGGTTTCAGGCACATAAAGATGTAGTAAGAACAGGAATTACTGCCGACCCTATCGGTCCTATGGTTCTCAGGCTTTTTTATACTCACAGAAGTCTGGGTGTAGATGAAAGACTGACAAAAATGTTTGCCTGTTTGTACTTTCATCTATTTGCCTATAAGAAATAAGCCAAATTTTGTGGCTGTCTCCCTTGATCTGCCTTCTTATATGGTGACCAAAACTTTGCTACAGAGCCTTGAGTGTGTGAAAAACATTAATTGATTCATACTGGCAGCTTTAGTTTCATTGGACAAGAAATCAGAATATACAAAAGAGTAATGAATGGATTGAGAAGGTGGGTGAAGAAGGCCAGGAAAAGCAGGGGAACTAGCATTTTTCAGGCCCTGGCCATGTGCCCAGTAGGGGGCTAGCAGTATCTTTAAAATGAGGACAGACACTTAGGCATTGCCTAACTCAGAGGCTGGGGGTGTGCAGTAGGCTGACACCCACAAAAGTGCTTTGAAGGGCTAAAAGCCATGTTTTCAGTTGTGTGGCCAGAGTAGAGCTTGGGTCAGGGAGGTACTTGAGGAGTAGGGGAATGAGGGACATGAGACAGGGTAGAGGTAGGGGCTGAGTGGTTGCACATAAATTTTAGCTTTAGCGTGATATAACTCCACGAGGAGTATGAAATGTGGGTCAGACCACAAAGTTGTCCCAACTGAGGCAAGAAAAAGAGGCTGTAGCTTCTAGGGTAAGGCAGCACCTGTCTGTGGAGGCAGTTGGCCAGAGAAGGGGGTCATCTCTGAGCTGTTAGCAGCCACTCCAGCTGCTGGGAGGGGTATGCTGATCAGTTAGGGAAAGTGTGTGGGCACCGAGAGCATCTACAACATGCTATCAAGTAGAAGTGGAGGAATTATCCTCAGGTTTAATATGTGTTTTTTCTTAGCTTGTGTGTTCTAGTGTTGAGGAAGTAGAAGGTGGTTCCCTGTGGCAGGAGAGGCAGTCAGGTGAGGGTGGGGCAGGATGCCATGCTGTGGAATCGATCCAGGTGAATACAGAATTCCAGGTCTGGACCATGTACCATCTATCCTAATTTTATAGAGCTCTGTTTTTACCTCATTTTACATTCACAACATCCCTTTGGGGTAGGCCATAATATTTCCACTTTACAGGTGAGGAAACTGAGGGTCAGAGAAATTAAGCAACCTGCTTCTTCCAAGGTCCCTAAACTAGTAAGTAATAGAACCAGGATTCAAACCCCATAGCCCAAGTCTCCCCATCATGCCACCCTAATTCCAAGATATGGAAAGGTTTTAAGCAGGGGAAAGACACTATTACTTACCCAGTTTAGAAAGATGACTGGGGCAGCCACGTGGAGAGTGGACTGGCAGAAACCTGTTGGGATGCCCTCGTGGTGATCCTGGCATATGAAGAGGGGTTGTGGCTGTAACAACAGAGAGGAAGGGCTGCACTGTGGAGCCATTTAAGAGGCAAAATGGACCAAACATCACAGGGATGAGAGGGAGGTGTCAGGAAGGATGTCCAGGTTCAAGCTTGACTGTGTAGCTAGAGCGGTCATTAACAAAGAGAGGAACAGGTTAGCATGGAGATTGTTCCTTCTGTGGGGACACAGCAACCTTGTCATTCACAGTGACTGAGTTTTTCCATTGTCCAGAACCTTTACTTCAGCAAGTCTGTGGATTTCAGCAACCACTTCCTGAGCAATGTCACTGAGGGTGGTAATGGGCCATTTGGCAGCAGATCCAGCCTGGGTGAGTTGTACCCTTACAGTGACTTTAAAATAATTGACCAGGAACACATTGACCTGGCAAGGGTGGCAGGGAGTTGCTTATAATTTTCCAGCCCAACCACACATCTTACTGTAATGTTCCAACCATTTTATTCTTCTGGCTTCTCTGAAGTCAGGGCTGAGATTTTTCAAGGCTTTCACAGAGCTTGGGGAGATAGGTTGTGAGTGGTGTTCTTTGAGGCCTAAAAGCTGTAGCCCCTTTTATTCCTTCCTTCCCACTCACCCTTTGGACTTAGACTGGGATAAATGGCTCCAGGAGTCCTTCTTGTGAAGTTCAATCAACTAGAAATTTCTATGAAAGTCATTTTATTCTTCTGACCTCTTGAGGGGCATGATAGTAGGATAGCTTTTTATGCATGGGGAGTGGCAGCGGGGGGCATTGTTTTGGTCCTCAACTCTTTATCATTCCAGTGAGTGACTACAGCCAGAGCACCTCTGATGTCACTGAAAAAGTCAAGAGGACAAAGAATTTCAAGACCAAAACATTTCAAGAAAAGGAGCAGCTCACAGTACGTGTAGTCCTTTGTCCTCACAGCTGTTTTCTTGGGCCTGTCTCTTTAATGTTTTACTTTGAGATTTTTTAAATGGAGGGATACTTGTTCATTTTCTGTACCTTTTTTTTCTGTGTATTTTTTATTTCATGGATTCCTTTAAAATATGTCAAGATTATTAATTAGAATTATTTTAAAGTTCTCATCAGTTTCCTGAATCACCTCTGTTTCCTCTGGGGTCAGTTCTGCCTGTCCGTCTTTCTGTCTTGCTTTTGGTTGGTCTCAAATATGTTATGATCCTCGGTTGCCATGTCATGTTGACAAGTGAAGGGCTAGTTTGAGTAGCATCAGTGCCTGCCCTGGGTGTGTGGGCCTGAGGTGTCTGTGGAAGGGATGGGCATGCTGTCTCCCCGGAGACTGTTTGGGCGGAAGATAGGAGAATGCCTTGGGGCTCCCTAGTTGCCTTTTCCCTAGAGGTGAGGATATGCTGTGAAGGGCTCTAGAGTGTTTCATTCCTGGATGGGGCTGTCTTTCCTTCCTTGCTTTCCTTCCCTGTGTCATCATAGAGGTCTGGGCCCAGTAATCCCAGTAGAAGCCTTTTTTAGGCAAATCATGAACTCTCTGGAAAATAGTTATCAGGGGTTAAGCAGAGAGCACAGGAGAGAGAAGAAGACACCACCCAGCTCAACCAACTCAACAAAGCCCTTTCCTAGAACACTCATGAATCCAGCCTGTGCCCAATACCTGCCCTCCTTGTTGATTAATTCAGCTTCTGCAAGACTTCCTAGAGGAAACACACTCATATCTCTGGTGTCTTTGACTGATTTTTCTTTGCTTCACTTTCCCTCTCAGTCAGATTCCACCTACTTAATTTTGGGGTGGGGGGGATTTATTTTTTATTGTTAATTTTTTAATCAAAAAAAATTTTTTAATTTACATCCAAGTTAGCTTATAGTGCAACAATGACTTCAGGAGTAGATTCTTTAATGCCCTTTACCCATTTAGCCCATCCCCACTCCCACAACCCCTCCAATAACCCTCTGTTTGTTCTCCATATTTAAGATTCTCTTATTTTTTGTCCCCCTCCCTGTTTTTATATTATTTTTGCTTCCCCTCCCTTAGGTTCATCTATTTTGTATCTTAAAGTCCTTATATGAGTAAAGTCATATGATATTGTCTCTCTCTGACTGACTAATTTTGCTTAGCATAATACCCTCTAGTTCCATCCACATAGTTGCAAATGGCAAGATTTCATTCTTTTTGATTGCTGAGTAATAGTCCATCTTCTTTATCCATTCCTCCAACTAGACATCTGGGCTCTTTCCATACTTTCACTGTTGTTGATAGTGCTGCTATAAACATTGGGATGCATGTGTCCCTTTGAAACAGCACACCTGTATCCCTTGGATAAATACCTAGGGATTTATCCAAATTGCTGGGTTGTAGGGTAGTTCTATTTTTAATTTTTTGAGGAAGCTTCATACTATTTTCCAGAGTGGCTATACCAGTTTGCCTTCCCACCAGCAGTGCAAAAGAGATCCTCTTTCTCTGTATCCTCGCCAACATCTGTTGTTGCCTGAGTTGTTAATGTTAGCTATTCTGACAGGTGTAAGGTGGTATCTCATTGTGGTTTTGATTTGTATTTCCCTGATTATGAGTGATGTTGAGCACTTTTTCATGTGTTGGTTGACCATCTGGATGTCTTCTTTGGAGAAGTGTCTATTCATGTCTTTTGCCCATTTCTTCACTGAATTATTTGTTTTTTGGGTGTTGAGTTAGATAAGTTCTTTATATATTTTGGATACTTTATCTGATATGTCGTTTGCAAATATCTTCTCCCATTCTGTTGGTTGCCTTTTAGTTTTGCTGATTGTTTCCTTTGCTGTGCAGAAGCTTTTTATTTTGATGAGGTCCCAATAGTTCATTTTTGCTTTTGTTTCCTTTGCCTTCAGAAATGCATTGAGTAAGAAGTTGCTGCAGCCAAGATCAAAGAGGTTTTTGCCTGCTTTCTCCTTGAGGATTTTGATAGCTTCCTGTCTTACCTTTAGGTCTTTCATCCATTTTGAGTTTATTTTTGTGCATGGTGTAAGAAAGTGGTCCAGGTTCATTTTTCTGCATGTCACTGTCCAGGTTTCACAGCACCACTTGCTGAAGAGACTGTCTTTATTCCATTTGATATTCTTTCCTTCTTTGTCAAAAATTAGTTGGCCATAAGTTTGTGGGTCCATTTCTGGGTTCTCTATTCTGTTCCATTGATCTGAGTGTTTGTTTTTGTGTTAGTACCACCTAGTTTCAATCTTTGGAATTCCTCTCAATTCCTGATCCACTGATGGCACTCTTCCAGAGTTTCCACAGCTGTTAGAGTTTTGTTTTTAAAAAATATAGACCATTAACATTTAACAGCAGCTTTAGAGAAAGAGACAGTGGGTGCCTTTGTTCAGTTCTCCACCTTGCCTTTCATTTGGTCCTCTTTGGCTGCAGTAGGGAAGACAGATGTGCTTAGCGACAAGCCCAAAGCCTGGGTCTCCACCGAGATGGAGACGGACACATGTCAGTTCTTTCCTCTTCTTTTCGTGAAGCCAGACCCTCAAGGCATCCTCCAGGGTGCACATACTGGTGCCCAGCTTGTATCATGATTTTTACAAAGGCAAGTGATTTCTCACCTCAGTTTGTTTTTTCCCACCACATGCTTTACATGTCATAAACAGGATTCAATTTGGGAAGAAGACCTTAGAATTATATTAACTTTTTTAAACAACCTATTTCTCCCTGGCATTGATTTATTTATGTATTTTATTTATTAAAAAAAATTTTACTGTTTGTTTATTTTTGAGAGAGAGACAGAGTGTCAGCAGGAGAGGGGCAGAAAGAGAGGGAGACACAAAATTTGAAGCAGGCTCCAGGCTCTGAACTGTCAGCACAGAGCCCGATGTGGGTTCAAACTCAGACTGTGAGATTATAACCCAAACCAAAGTTGGACACCTAACCGACTGAACCACCTAGGTGCCCCATTTATGTATTTTATTTAAATCCAAGTTAACATATAGCATAATAATGATTTCAGGAATAGAATGTGGTGATTCATCACTTACATATAACACACAGCGCTCATCCGAGTAAGTGCCTTCTTTAATTGTCCATCACCCATTTAGCCCATTCCCCCACCGCACACCCCACCAGCAGCCCTCAGTTTGTTCTCTGTATTTAAGAGTCTCTTATGGTTTGTCTTGCTCTTCTGGTTATTTTTTATTCCCTTCCCCTATGTACATCTGTTGTGTTTCTTAAATTCCACATATGAGTGAAATCATATGATACTGTCTTTCTCTGACTTATTTCAGATTAGCATAATACCTTCCAGTTCCATCCACGTTGTTGCAAATGGCAAGATTTTATTCTTTTTGATTGCCGAGTAATATTCCATTATATAGATATACCACATCTTCTTTATCCATGCATCAGTCAATGGACATTTGGGCTCTTTCCACACGTTAGCTATTGTGGATAGTGCTGCTATAAACACTGGAGTGCATTTGCCCCTTCGAATCAGCATTTTTGTATCCTTTGAATAAATACCTAGTAGTGAATTGCTGGATCATAGGGTAGTTCTGTTTTTACTTTTTTTTCTATTTTTAAGTTTTTGAGGAAGCTCTATACTGCTTTCCAGCATGGCTGCACCAGTTTGCATTCCCACGAGCAGTGTGAGAGGGTTCATCTTTTTTTATTTTTTAAAGGGGTCCTCTTTCTTCACATACTCACCAATATCTGTTGTTGCCTGAGTTGTTAATTTTAGCCATAAAATTATATTAACTTGTATTGCTTATGATTCCTAATACTCTTGGTCTTCTCTCAGTTTAAGTATAAAGTTCCATAAACTTTAACAATTTTTTAGACTCCACCTGCTTATCCTGTATGTGACCTGAATCCCCCATTGCTGTGTGCCTGTATTTTCTCATTTGTATTTAGGGCATAAGTATCATAAAATAATCACAGCGTTCAGTGGCCCACTCATTCAGTGGTTATTTTGAGCACACATGTATCAGGCACAGTGGGAAAAATAAATTGTGAACAAAAGATATAAAGGTCTCAGACCTCATGAGGTTGACATTCAAGTGCTTTCTAGTATCGTTTTCCATATGGAATGGAATTCAGCCAGAACAAGTATGCCCCCCAAGACTCCCTGGAGGTTTACTTATTAGAGTACATTGTTCCAAGCTACTCACTCTAGAATCGGGGGTAGGGGGAACATAGCCTGAACCTGGCATCTTCTTCCAAAAGGCTCAGAGGACTTGACCAATGTCCTCATCTCTGCTTCCAGAGAGCAAGGAGGGGGTAGATATTATTTTCACTATGCAGACAGGAAAATGGGAGTTCCAGAACCACCCCGAGTCACCCTCAGATCCAGTGACAGAAACACACTGAGAGTAATGTACTGGCCTTCTAGACTGCCTCTTCATCCTTGCAGCAACTGGCATTTGAAATCCCCATTTTAAAAACAGAAAAAAGATAGGGGTGCCTGGGTAGCTCAGTTGGTTAAGCGTCTGACTTCAGCTCAGGTCATGATCTCACAGTTCGTGGGTTCGAGCACTGTTTCGGGCTCTGTGCTGAACGTTTGCTTGGAGCCTGGAGCCCGCTTCAGATTCTGTGTCTCCCTTTCTCTCTGCTCCTCCTCCGCTCGTGCTCTGTCTCACTCTGTCTCTCAAAAATAAATAAATGTAAAAAAAATTTTTTTTAAATAGAGAAAAGATAATAAACGCTTCAGATTTCTGATGATAAGTAAGAGCTTTTAATCCCCAAACAAGAGTTGACTTTATCAGTTCACTCATGCATCAGGGGAGCGTGTTTTCTGAACAGTCATACTTAGGCTGATTCTCAACACTTTATATAGAATGCAGAATGAATTTTAGGATTCATCCATTTGCTTTTCCTAGGAATATCTATTTTCCTTTGTAATAAAACTAGTTGGGGGGGTGTGTGTCTGGGTTTTTGTGAGGTTTCTCATTGCATCCCATTGATACCAGTGTCAGTGTGGTATCCTTCCCCAAGACAAGCTCTACATTAGCTGGATTTATTTGTGTCACCGGCTGTCAAAGACAACACACATGTACTCATGCACACACCTACATGCACATGCTACACACACCTGCCCCGGGGCTCACTTGCCTGTCCCTGGGACTCAGAACTTAACCTTGAAGAGGAAGCGTTTGCCTTGAGGGTTGAGTTCATACAGGTGGGGCAGCAATATTTTGCGGTGGTAGAAATGACCATATTGTCTAATCCTGCAGCCTGAAAACAGGCTCCTGCTGAAGGAAGTCGGACCGACAGGGGAAGGAAGAGTCACTGTGATTGAACAGCTGCTTGATGAGGTGAGTACATCCCAAACAAGTCTCTCTGAGGATTTCAGCCTTGTGTTTCACCTCTGTCTCTTTCACATGGAAGTCTTGTTCAGTATTGGGATGATCACAGGGCCATTTCATTTTAAACACCTGGAAGTGGATTAAATGGCCAGTCAAGAACTTTATATTAATTATTATTGGTTACTAGTTTTTATAGCAGAGAAAATAAACCGAAAAGTCACATGAACCCAAATAATGTGCACAAAGGTGGACAGAATCCCTGTTCTGTGACCCCACATGACCTTCATGTTTCCTAAAGAAGTGAAGTTGTCCAGGTGCCTACCCTCCTGATGAGGAGAGCATGAGTTCTATGCCCCATGACCTGCAGGTAGCTCTGTTCTAGGTCACATCTTGGCTTTCCTGATGTCCTTCTCTTTCAATGTAAAGCATATTTGTTACACTTCCTAGGATGATGGGTGGGTACTGCTGAGAGCAGGGTTTTGTGGCACGTTTGTCCCTTTCCTTATGCTGCAGGGAGCAGATCCCAATTGCAGGGACAGTGAAGAGCGACCCGTTATAACTGTGGCTGTTGTGAATCAGCACCATGAAGCGATTCCGGTTCTCGTGCAGAGAGGAGCAGACACCGAGCAGCAGTGGGGACCGTAAGTAAGACACAGTAGAAGGACACCACTAGGGGCTCCTGGGTGCCTCAGTCAGTTGAGCATCCAACTTTGGCTCAGGTCATGATCTCTCAGTTTGTGGGTTTGAGCCCTGCGTCGGGCTCTGTGCTGACAACGCAGAGCCTGGAGTCTGCTTCACATTCTGTGTCTCCTTATCTCTCGGCTCCTTCCTCGTTCCTGCTATGTCTCTCAAAAATAAATAAGTGTTTAAAAAAATATGTTTTTAAAAAGAACAGCCCTGGCATAGTGTCACAGACAGCTGTGACCTCTCACATGCCCCCTGTTCAATTTGAACCACTCAGCAACCATTTTTTAGCTCATTTGGGCCTTAATCAGAGACTTAACTGCTTCTATTTTTCCAAATCTGGGGAAAGCAAAAATTTTTAAATGGACTATTGGATTGCCTGATTTTTTGTAGTTTTCATAAATGATAAATTTTGTTAACTCACAAATGTATACTGTTGTGGGGCTGGCAAATCCTTCGCCCTTGGGGTATTAAGTGACATTTTCATCATGATCTGAGCTGTTGAGGTGGATAAGAAAGGAGTGGACCCCGTGTATTCCCTGTGGAAATGTATCCATGAAATTACTACAGAGAGAAAACCTTATCCGGTTGTCTCTGGCTGCATCAGCACTGGGGTGAACCTGCACATGTGAGTTCACCACACAATCTGACGTGGCAGGACAGACAGATACCAAGTCCTGTTGGGTGTTCTTGTCACTTCCCTCATCTCAGGGCTGTCCTACCTCTTGAACTCTCCCAGTCTTGTGATTCTGTCGTTCTCATACAAATTACAGTAAAACCTGGGATGGTGAGTAACTTGTTCTGTGAGTGTTCCTCAAGATGAGCAAGCATTTCTAATAAATTTTACCTTGATAAATGAATGATGTCTTGCAATATGAGTTGTACATGACACCGAGTGTCACATGATCACAACTGAGTTAATGGTTCTTTTTTTTTTTTTAATGTTTTATTTATTTCTAGGAGAGAGAGAGAGAGAGACAGCGTGAACAGGGGAGGGTCAGAGAGAGAGAGGGAGACACAGACTCCGAAATAGGCTCCAGGCTCTGAGCTGGCAGTCAGCACAGAGCCCGACGTGGGGCTCGAATCCACGAACCGCGAGATCATGACCTAACCGAAAGTCAGACGCTTAACTGACTAAGCCACCCAGGCGCCCCTTGAAATTCACTTTGATATACAAGTGCTTTGAAGAACAAACATGTTTCTGGAATTAATTATGCTCATACTAACAGACCAAGGTTTTACTGTACTTTGGAAAGGTGGGGTGGAATGTTCCTTGAGAACAGGTTCCATATGTTAACTGCTTCTATCCTGCCAAGCAAGTTGTCAAACTAGAAGTTCTCAAGGGCTTCTGCAGGAATCTGACACTGCTGCCCCCTGAGCTGTTATTGACACAAGGTTGAGGCCCCATCAGAGCACCACGCAGCCAGCACAGGGGGCCAAAATTAAATAGCTTTGCCTCTGTCTTTCTCTGTCCCAAAATTCCCTCTGGTGTTTTTATCAAAAATATATCCCTATTAATTCTTCTGTGTGTGCTTTTATAAGTTTCTGCTGAATAGGACAGCTGTATCAAGACCTGACCCCGTTTTTACCTTTATTTTATAACAGAATGTATGGCACACTTGCTATACATATTTAGTGGCTGGAATTTACTTGCTCACCTTTTCTTAGGATTCACATTCTTCATACTTTGTCAGCTTCTTCATTTTCCCACACTTGTTATTCATAAAAATAATGCCACCTCGTTAAGGTATACTTTATATTTGGACAATTCAGATAAGCTTTTCTTAGAGCACTTACGTATAATGTATGTGGTTGATACAAAATCTCTTGAGCAGACTTTCAATTGATGCTTACGTATGAGGTGTCCTGGATTTATGAAAAGTCCAGCTGAGAGGAAGAAACTACTCTGGACATGGAAGACTTTACCTGTTTTACCTTGGTGTTCCTCAGTTTCCATTCTTGCTTCATTACTATTCTATAAATTGACATTCATCCACACGTGATCCTATTGCATCTCTACTAACTCTCTGCTCATACCGTCTGTCTGAATGGTGTGTGATAGCCTGTTGTCTCTCCCACTGCATTAGCCCAGTTAGCAGAATTTTGGTCTATGGAGTGGGGGTGGGTAGAAAAGCTAGGCCAGAGGTCCTTCCTCAAAATAGAGCACAGAGATCTCTTCTTCCAGTTTAGTTCATGCCAGTGGAATAAATCACATTTTCCCACTGGGAGCCAACTCTACTAAGTCTGGTTTATAATTGTCAGTTCTAAGTGTTGAGACCCGGGTCAGCCTGGCTTCTGCCCCACAGTAGACCTCTGTAGATCCAGGAACATGACCTCAAGGCTCCAACCATTCTACTGCTCTTCATGCACAAACCATGCAGAGATCTGGCTTTCCTGTAAAAGAGGCTCAGTGAATTGTTCCTTAGCAAGCAAAGATTAGAAATCTCTTCCCTGCACACTCCTCCCCCCCATCCCAAGCTTTTTGGGCTAGTAAAGAGAAGCAGCCTAGGTGGTTTCTATGCAAGATAACTCCTGGTGTTTATATTTACAGTATTTGCATCTTTCCTACCAGAATACACTTATATTTGACCCAAAAGGATGGCTAAGAAGTACACATCCTCCACCAAAGCTGATACCTCCTATTGGCAGATTTCAAAACCACAGATTCAAGGTCTCATTAGGAGAGGGGCAGAGCGAAGTGCCATTTGCTTTTGGACAACAGCAGTCCTCCTTCACTGGCAGCTTCAAACACTTCATCCCTTAGCTCTGCCTCAGTAGCCAGGAGGGACAAATGTAACCATCAGTCTGCTTCTTAGAGCTTCAACTGAGGAGATTTATTCTATTAGGCATTTCATGATTTACAAAGAAAGAATGTGCCTTCATCCACCATGATACTTAGATCTGAATAAACAGTTTGAGTTGTTTGTGCATTAATAGTAAAGTTTCTTTAAAGTAAAAATTCACGGGGGAGCATGTGGATGGCTCAGTTGGTTAAGCATCTGGCTTCAGCTCAGGTCATGATCTCATAGTTTCTGAGTTTGAGCCCTGCGTGGGGCTCTGTGCTGACAGCTCAGAGCCTGGAGCCTGCTTCAGATTCTGTGTCTCCCTCTGTCTCTACCCCTCCCCTGCTTGCACTCTGTCTCTGTCTCTCTCTAAAAAAAGAAATATTAAAAAAAATTTTAAGTACAAATTCACAGAACACCACACTGTACCTGCTGTACAAAACATGTTCTAGACGGTCTGGTAATAGAGTACCCTGCTATTCAGAGGAACAAATCTATAGGTGTGACCTCTACTCTGAAGCATGGGATCCTGATAAGAGAGTATTCCATCAAGTGCCATTGCCATGTTGGAGTTACGTTGTTTGAGGAGTGGTGTACAAAGTAGAGTTGGCAGTTGCAGTTCATTACTTCTCCAAACCAAACTGTGGTTATACAGAAAATCTAACCACGCCACTCCCTCCCCACCTAGTAAATGGAATGCACGTTCTCTCAGTTGAGAGGGAGTTACATAGGAAGAAGATCATACATCTATTCAGGAGATGTGGCAACTCCGTGAATATATGCAGGTTCCAATGGTGAATGCCTTATAAAGACCCAGGGAACTTGGTGGTGAAGTGACCCAACAGTTGAGCCCTATGCTACCAGGTAGAAAGGAACGATGAAAGGTAAGGAGGGAGTCGGTGTCATTGGTGTGACTGAGATATCCTTTGTTCGTGTGCCCATAGCATCTGCTATGCATTGCAACTGCTTGAGCAGGAGGATTTTCTTCTCCCCAAACAGGCTTCGAAATACAGCTCTTCATGAAGCGACCCTGCTTGGCCTGGCGGGAAGGGAGTGCATTGCTGCTTTACTGCGGTATGTTCCTGGCCTCGGGGGGAGACCCCTGAGGACCACAGTTATCCCACTGCTGACTGTGATGATTGCAGAAGGCCCAAGTTCCTGAACAGTTAACAGTGAACAGGGGCCACCATCACACCGAGGTTCCCGGAACTGAGGGCTTCTAAAAGCACAATGAAAATATCCACCTCCCCCCTACATGCTTGATTGTAGGACTTTGATGCAATGGGAGCCAATGGCCAAGATTGGCAATTGAACGTGTTGAAATCACAGCCTCTCAAAAGGTCTCAGAGTAGAGCCACCCTTGAGAGTGAGGGTCATGGTGGCCTCTTGGGGACATGTTTAAGGAGGTCGGGCCGGGAGGCTCCCATACTGGCCTCTGTGTCAGGGAAGAGCCATCCTCAAGTTCAAGCACCTGAGTGCTTCTATTCATGTCCATTTCCTTGGCAGATGCAATGCAAGCATCCAAAAGAAGAACACGAATGGCCAGACGGCATATGACCTGGCTCTGAACACTGGGGATGAGATCATCACCTCGCTCTTTGCTGCTAAGCTTGGCCTGGACAACTCTTAGACCCAAGAGCCTGCGCTGGACCTAGCTGCAAGAAACCATCCAGCTCTGGCTGTTCTTTGTTTCTTTCTGAGATGTGTATTTGCGGTTTGGGAATTGAGGTTGAGAGGAATGCAGAGATGTTTTTTTAAATATGACAGTGTAAGCCACCATGTGACCATTTCCCAGTACGTTCTGGATGGTGATGAACTTAACGTATGTTTTTTAAAGGGTCTGTTGCTGCTTATTTTGGAATTTTCTTTTAAATTTATTTTTCAATAGTTAATAATTGTACATGGTTCAGAGCTAAACAGTATGAAATGTTAAGTAGTAAAAACTCTGCCACTCCTGTCCCACACAGCCACCCACGTCCCCTCCTCAGAGGCTCCAATGATACCAGTGTCATCTGTGTCTTTCCAGAAATAGTAGAGGATTACATAAGCACATGTATGTAATATATGCATATGTACATATAGGGTATATATAAAATACAAATATAGAGAACATATATTCTTTCTCTTTTGAGACAAGTACTAGCAAACTACACACCCATCTGATGTTTTACATCTTGTTCTTTTCCTTAATATCTCTTGTAGGTGGTTCCAAATTAGTACCTAAAGATTAAGTTTATTTAAAAACTTTCACTTCTGGTGTGAAGTATTCCTATTGTTGTGGCTTGTTCTTCGGTTGACAAACAAGCCTTGAATAAGCCCATGTGCAAGAATGTGCAATTTTGACTGACTTATTTTTTCAGAATGTGATTTCTGCCTTTGGGTGATAATGCTGCAATCGTGGAGTCCCTAAATAGTTTGTGTTAAAGTCTGTTAGTTTAGAATGATTAACTCAGCACAATAAATAATAGACTTGGTTGAGTGGTTGCTGTTATCACTACCTGCACTTCCTTTCCCACGGCGGTGACAGTCTGTGGGAGGACAGGGGCAGAGTCGCTGGAAGCGAAGCCCCCACGTGGGTTGGGGGGCACTGGCACTGGCTCTCCCTTGTCACTCGGCCAGCCATCTGTGCTGTGGGGGCTACTGCAAGGTAACCAAGGTCCTGAGAGACCCGCGGAGTGGGATCAGGTGGTTTGACGTCAGGGCCGGTTTGCATTGTCGGCCTAGCTGTACAATACGACCTTTCCCAGACTTCTGTGCCTTTATGGTTCGGTTCAGGGTTGGTTGCAAGAGTGACTGCACCAGCTTCCAGATTCCTGAAGTGGAAGTGAAGCCGCGGCCATCACACTAGGAGGCTGGGTTAGGGCACCAGACGCTGCCGCAGCTCACACCCTATGGGCTCCGGAATCGATACTTGGGGAGGAGTGTATGGAGTTCACGACCATTTTCCCCAGAGCTCAGGGAGCAGTTAAGGCCTGGCACACCCATGGGTTCCAGAAACATTCCTCTTGGAGCTCTCAGGGTCACTTATATACCCTGAGTGCAGGGTCCACATCTCCACTGTTCCGTGGGCTTCCTTCCACACTTTCTGGGGGACGGTTCTGCCCTCTACCCAAGCGGCAAAGCACAAACCTGACCTCTCATACCTTTCACTAAAGCCCACCCACAGCACAAATTACCCTTGAGTTTCACTGCTTCAGAATCAAACCTCACTTGCAAACTGAACAGGTGGCTTAAGATGCAAGAACACAGGTTCAAATCCAGGAACTTTCTGATAAAATCCTACAGGGTTATGTAAAACATTACATAAACATTGAACTGCCTGTGTCCAGGAAAAAGAAAGTGAAACACCTGTTCAGGCAGGCTCTTTCTGATTTAAAAATTCATGTTATTTCTCGTCCTTTGTGAAGTTTTTGTGTTTTCCTCATGCCACTGTATCAGGGCCTGATCCGGGAGCAGACGCACCATAGTGATGATGAGTGAGGGGTTATTAAAGGAACAGGGCCACCCGCAGTCGTGGGGGTGAGTGAGGCTGATCGTGGGGCTGGAGCCGCCGGAGGGCCTCCGTGGGGAAGGAAAGGCGGGCGCCAAGTGGGATGAGCGAGGAAAGACGAACCCGCGGGCCCAGTCCTTCCCCCACCCCCCCATTCCTCCTCATGGTCACGGGCGCTTGCGGGAGCTGCTGGCGCCCTTCAGCATGGAGCTTGTACCAGGCATCCCAGCTGGGCTCTCTGGGAGCAGACACCGACATGCCGAGAGATGGGCGACAGAGGAGAACGCACGTTCATGGGGGATTGGCGTTTGTGGAAGGAAGAGGGTGGTGCAGCAGGAGTCGCCCCAGATGCAGCCCTCCCCGCCCAAAGCCAAGCCAGCTGTGGGGCAGGGTGCTGGAGAGGAGGATTGCCCGGGATCCGTCATCCCGCTGTTCCTGGACAGCTGTAGCTCAGTCGCTGGGCGACAGCTGTCCCAGGAAAGCTGTGACTTCAGGCCAGGCAGCTTTCTGAGGCAGACCTTGAAGTTGCTAATGGCTGGGGGCGGCCTGCACTCCCTACCCCAGGTGGTCAGCCCTGCCCGAGGGGCGGATAATGCATCTGTGTGTCCCATGGTCCTGAAGGTCTGACCCTGGCTGCCGGAAGGAGGTCTGGTGGGAGCTGCCTGCATCCACCAGCCAGCTTGCCCCAGGGATGTGAGGGAGGGCAGCAGTGACCCTGATCTCAGAGCCCCCACCCTGCAGGCTCAACTCAGGCCCTGTGGTTAGTGCTCAGGGTGTGGCTGAGCCCCAGATGGGGTGAAAATCAGCTCACTGTCCATTGGCTGGTGGCTCAGGTCACTGTGACCTCCCTGCATCTGGACCCACTGCCAACAACTCCCGAGGCCCAGCCGCTCCTCTTGGAGGATCTGTCCTTGCTTCGTGGCTTCATCCCCACATCCCCACAAGGCTCCAGAGGCCTGGAGTTAGCTATTCCCCTCCTTACCATCAAGGTGAATGCTTTTCCATGTGTTTATTGACCAGTTTTTCTTGTTGATTTGGAGAGGTGATTTATATCCTCTAGAATCAGAGTATAATTCTAGACTCTAGAGCAGCAATATCAAACGGAAATACAGTGCTGTCCACATAAATGTTTTCTATCAGCCAAATTTAGTTTCTGCTGATTCCTAACTTGCTACAATTCCTGATGGAATGAAAAGTGCATGGGGCATGTGGGTGGCTCAGTCGGTTGAGCTTCTGACTCTTGATTTTGGCTCAGATCATGATCCCTGGGACTTGGGATTGAGCCCTGTATCAGGCTCCCTGCTGAGTTTAAGATCCCTGGCCTCTCTCCCTCTGTCCCTCTCCCCACCTTGTGCTTTCTCTCTCTCTCTCAAAACAAACAAAACAAAAACACTGTATGTTAATGATTTTTAGCATCCATTAAAATAAAAATTTCCCCATGAGTGAGTTACATTGATTGTATATGTTTTTGAATCAAGCCTTCATTGCTGGGATAAATATAATACATTCTTACTAAATTCCACTCCTGGATTTTAGTTGCTAGCAATCTGCATGTTATTAAATGAAATTGGCCTCCATTTATTTTTATTTGTTTTGTAACTAGAGTAATGCTAGACTCACAATGTTACAGCCTTCTGTTCCCCTCCCCCCAGCCCCCCAGTATTTTAGAGAGGATTATGAAACACAGGAGAATTATGTGCAGCTTTGATAGAAGGCTTTCAGTGTAACTCGGGGCTTCATGATTTTCAGTCATAAATCTTTGTCGTCTGTATCAGTCAGTTCTCACACCGAGAAGCAGAACTAGGAGGAGATGTGTATCAAGAGACTCATCACAAGGTACGGGCTTAGGCGGTTGTTGGTGCTGGCTGGGCAAGTCCAAAGCCTCCGCGTGGGTGTCAGGAAGGGTGGGCTGCAGCTGTGGCCACCCATGGAATTCCTTCTCCAGGAAGGTCTTCATTTTCTACTTCAGGTCTTTCAACTGATTGAATTGGGCCAACCCAGACCTGCTAGAATGATCTCCCTTTCTTCAAGTCAGCTGACCATGAACTTTAATAGCACTACAAAATACCTTCCCAGCAACACCTAGATTCCTGTGTGAATGAGGACTGGAGCTCAGGCAATTTGACACATTAAAAAAAGACCATAGCAGCCTCTATTACAGTGTCATCGATTATTTCTTCTTTTTCCTACTCTCACTTGAATAAAATCGGTAATACACACATATGTATATCTTGGTTCCCTTTTTGTATAAGGCTATACACTTTTTTTCTGCCAGTTGCATGGATTTTGGGGTCATAAGATTTTCATTATACTTCTTTTTGTTTTTATATTTAGATTTGTTTGTTAACCTCTCATTTAGCCACCACTATTTCAATATGTGTGGAAGTGGAGCCACTAGTAGTGGCCAGAGCCTCACCTTCTGCAAATGCTGGAGTAGTGAGGGTTACATAGAGCTTCACTTTCAGGCAAGTCTGAACCCCTTTCTCCAGCCTCCACCCCATCTGATCCCCAAACGTGACCTCTGAAGGACCAGAGTGACCTAAAATTCATGTCTGCTTCGCTGTCAGATCACTGACCCACCACTGGGACCTTTTCCAGGGTAGGGGAGGGGACAGTTAATTCAAAGGAGGTGGCCTGGAAGTAGACAGAGTTCAATTCATTCATGAATCACTTTGACTTCTAACAAACATTTATCAGATATGATTTCAATACTTATTATTTATTGTAATTTTTATATAAATGGCAATTTCCAGGCCCCTGATCTGGGGTCCACATGTTTCCAGCTGGGTGGTAATAAATGGCTCAATTTTTAGACTAATTACTCCCAATGCATTTAGAGCCTCAGAAATCCTACTTTGCCCCAAGCTCTCAACACGAGAAATTTTCTTCTTTTCTACCCCAGCCTCCTCCCCTACTTTATCCTTCATCTGCTCAGTAGAAACACCTTTTATCCCATCAAATGGAAGAAGGGAAAGGGGCGATCCTTGGGAGTAGTTCCCAAACCATTTCTGACTTTGCAGCAGAGAAAATATTCTCAAATATAATTTTCTTTTCTTTTTTACTGCTTATTTTATTTTTGAGAGAGAGAGAGGAGGAGGAGAAGGAGGAGAAAGGTCAGAGAGAGAGGGAGACACTGAATCTGTCAGCACAGAGCCCGATGTGGGGATCAAACTCATGAACTGTGAGATCATGACCTGAGCCGAAGTCAGATGCTTAACCACTATTAGGCTTAACTCACATTCTCATCCCCAGCTATCGTGGGTGGTTTTCTTATTTTTTCTTGTTTCTCCTCAAATTCCCTTTCCTACTTTCCCTAAGGGTGAAAAAAGAAACTGGTAAAATCTAGTCGATTATTTCCCCTTCTGAGCAAGTAGTTGTTAAGAATGGGTTGCCCTTAGAGGGATATTCACGCCTTTTCCTTTGGCAAGTGTATTCTGTTCCTCAGTTGCTTTCTTTTCAAATTTGGGGAGATATTATAGATTTTTAGCATTTGACCTGTCAACTCCTTCCCTTAGGATGCTTTGATGAGGGAGATGTTAGCTTCATGGAGTATGAGACCATAACTTCTAGGAACTTCTATCTCTGAACACCCCTTCCTCTAAAATTTGAGTAGTGTGGGTATTATTTGTGTTTTTACTTATTTGCTTGTAATTTTATTGGGTTTAGAGAGGGCTTGCTCTGAGCTAGTTTAATACTACCATCTTGCCTCAGCAGCCCTATTCACTCAGAAATTCTAGATTCTTCACCTCTGCTCCAGCCAACATTTCCACCAGAGCACCCATAGCTCACCTCAGACCCTCCATTTCTAAGATCTACCCTTTCAGGAAAGTCACCATCTACTATTTCTCTCTCTTGACCCAGGGCCTGGCAAACAAGAGATGCTTGGTAAATATTTAAGTATATTAGATTTTTATCGCTGCATAACTAATTACTTCAAAGCTTAGTTGCTTAAAAATAATAAAATCTTACTATCTGACAGTTTCTGTGG